CCTCGCTTGAAAACGTCGACACTCGCGTTCTGACGGGTTTGTACTTCTCGCGAGACAACAGTTTTAGACCGAATTTCACGCTTAACGAAGAATTTTCAGTCGACTGACCCTTCGATTCTTCGATCCTGTTGCGCGAATGTGTAAGTAGATATAATTCGGCGCGGCGAATCGATCGAACCTCAATTTAGATGAACCCGTCATACAAGACGAATATTTCGCTTCGTCGAGCAACCTCTCCAGCAATAGACGTTTCAGACACGAGATAAGAGCGGTTGGGTGTTAGGTTGCACTCCTGGGTTTGCATCATCTCTCAACCCTGACCCAGCATCCCTTACCATACATACATCTCTCTAACCTCATGCTTGGCTACTCTACTATACAATATAACAAACATTTACTAGACGTCGTACGAATTTTCCCGATATATATTTTTCAACTGCCGCTTGAAATTTGAAACGTGCGATAATTCGTAAAGAATATCGATGAAAGATCGAAACGATTGTGACGAGTATCACCGATCCAACGATTCGTTTGAACTATGCCCATCAAATCCATCAACATTTCACATTGGCTTTAATTGTACCGAAACGAAAGTAGAATTGTAAAGAAACGACTCTGCCGGCACAAATGAGCAAAGTTCCCGATTCGAGACCCCCCCCGATAAGGGGGAAGAAGGAAGAGGCCAGAAAAAGAGCCAGAGCACCCTCGGACTGCTATAACATTTGCATAATCGTACGTAACAATTATCGTTCATCAGGCTGGGGGAGCTAGTCCCAGCTGAATTTTTCCTTTCCCCGGGAAAATTTGCATATACACGACGAATCTTTAACGAGTTTCAAACAAATGTCTATCTGTCAAAAAATTCCATATTCCATTGTCGAATGAAAATCTCGGACAGCGTTGGTTCTCGTCTCTGTCAACGAATTTCCTCTGAAATCAGCAAGGTCTGACTCCGAGAGAAAAAAAAAAAAAAAAAAAAGGAAAAAAAGAAAAAGAATTCAGAAAAATGAAGAATAACGTAGAAGGGTCAAAGATATCTTCGACGACGATGTGAAAGGGAGATGCTGGCGGCACTGATCGAGCAACGAAGACTCTAAAAGCTAGTAATTCGCATGGGGCCCATAAAAATGTTTATCACCGTCAATAAAGAGGCTTTCTGGTCCTGGCGGGCTTTTGGCTCTTTACTGCTCTGCGCCGGTTACGATGCTCAACGTAAAGTTGAACAGGGAGCCGAAAAAGAAAGGGCGAGAAACGACAATGTACCAGCTCTAATCTCGACGATAAAAATCTATCAATCGTTTGATTTTTCTCCTGTTCGAGGAAAGACTTTTAATCGCGAGACTCTCGGTCTATCGTCTGAAAATCGATTCCAGCCGCATCCACTTGGGAGTTTCGGTCCACGAGCAGGAGATATTCGAGGAAACGCTGCGAAGGTAGTCGGATAAAAAAATGATGAACGACGTTCCGGACTAGTAGGACGTTACGTGGTGGCTGGTGGTTTTTGTTTAAAACGTTCGCCCGTGGCACCCTCGAGGGGTTCGACCGACACTCGACATCTCGCCAAGGTTCAGCCAGGGCAAAGGGATGCCCCCAAGATGTATGCAAAATGGAAACGAAACGCTTTCGACTGTATGAAAACATTTCCTCGGTTATATCGCCGAAAAGATTCTCTCGTACGAGTTCTAAATAATCACGAATTGAACGGTATTTTATTTTACGGTATTTTCGTGATCCCCATTTCGAAATAACACTCTTCGCATTCGATCATCTGACCTCTTGTCTCTTAATTAAATTGCGCCGTAAAATATACGTAATAAAGTGCAACATAGTAAACACTGTCGTTCCAACGCCAGTAAATAATGTTATTATCCTCAGAGCTTGGATGTCTGGCTACCTAATTCGAGTTACAATGGACCGTGTCAGGCTTAATATCTCAAAAATGAGCAAACAAATTCTAGAGTGGATACAAGTTTCCCGTCATTTTTAATATGTCCGTTCTATTGTCCGTCAATATTTTATTCAAAATTTCTTTCAGGAAACTTGACAGGAAACGTGAAATGAAAAATTGAGTGAGCGGTTGATACACAGGTTAATACAAGGGATTTATCTGGTTTACCGAACATTAATGAGAAAATAGATTTTCCTTTGTTCCGTCTAGTTTCGGAATGACTAAGACAAGTATTTAACGGTAATTAACGTTAGTGGATAGCGTATTGACGTCGACGCAACGTCCAGAGGCATCAAATTATAATTCCCCAAAGGATAGCGCTTGCCTCTACACGCGCGCGTTCATTTCATTGATATTCTTAGTTGGTAAATTTCGCTTCGAAATTTGTGGAACTTTGTAAAAAGTACGTTCCGTCGCAAGGGATTCCTTTATTGCCAACACTTATTGAACAGCGAGTTCAAATAGCCAAACGCTATGGTTAGTTTCTAGTTTATCGCTCGTATCGGAACTCTGACGGTATTAAATTTCTAGCGCGGAATTATTCCAAACATCCGTGAAGTTTTATCGAAACCAGAATTTCGAACGTTTAGGAAACTCTGTTGTTGCAGCTGGCGGTTCTAATTTTCGGAACTACGATTTCTGCAACAGCGAGCTCCGTGGAGTGTCGAACACCTGTTGAAAATTAAAACCAAATTCAAAATTTGCCAACTTTGATCCCAATTTTGCAACTACGAAAATCCGTAGGAAATGCCGCGCGATGTACCCAAGTTCCCTTGCTTGTTACGATTTGTTCATGATTTCGAGAGAGAGAGAGAGAGAGAGAAGCGTTCGAATGTCTGATACGAAGAAAAACAACAGATTACAAAGCAATGCTGTAACAATTGTTCCATCGTTGAGCATGAATTGCAATTGTTTGCAATTGTTACACAATTCTGCTACGTGCTTTGCAGAATATCTCTCGCCGACGTAACGCTGGTACGTAGTATATATTCTGTAGCACAAACGCTCAAACTAACCACTCATCCAAAGCACATCTCATTAGTATACATAGGTCCTGCGATGAACGTTCGCATTCAAGTAACAGTCGATATCTATTAGACGACTGGGCAATATTACAATAACTGGAACCAACGTGTAATTTAACGGTAATTAACGTTAGTGGATAGCGTATTGACGTCGACGCAACGTCCAGAGGCATCAAATTATAATTCCCCAAAGGATAGCGCTTGCCTCTACACGCGCGCGTTCATTTTATTTTCGGATTTTCAAAGTTCTTTTTCTCAAGAATTTCTAACGTAATTCATAATTCGCGGTGAGTCGTCGTGAAATCACTCGTTCGATTGCAAGTTCGTATACGACAAAATATTAATCGCAGCACGTGTCGTTGTACGTAGTTGATCCTTGATCGAAACCAATTTCAACGCGATAAACATCTCGGTATAAATTCATGGATATCGTCGTTCCCGTTCAAGCAAGCCTCGGCGAAACGAGCGCCTTCTTTGTCGACAAGATTCGAAATTATTTCACGCGACGAGAGGAGTAGTAGCCGGTGCAAGCGGAACGGTGAATTTCTATCAGGAGAAGCGATAAGCACGGTAACTTTTATCTCAGCACACCTCGTCTGCCCCGTTCTCCCGCCTAGGCGAAACCCTCGTATCCACGCCACTCGCTTTTTAACATAATTTCACGTTTCATTGTCCCCGAGAGTTTCAAGTTCCGACAGAGAGCCTGAGCGAGGAGTCCTGAATTTTAATACGATCGCGTAGGCGACTGCTTCGTCTTTTCTAGTTGCGACCGGATAAATTTTACGTACGAACACCAGCGCGATCTTCGTACGCAAAGGGAAAGAAGAAATTCCGCTGTACAACTGCATTCCACGCACTGCGTCTCGCTCGAATCCGACGAATCTAATCAATTTACGATACACTCCGCCATTCCCTTCTCCGGCGTGACAAACAAGATTCTCCCGGAACGAAAGGCACGAGAATTTTGCTTCGAACGAGCCAACGTGCCCGTAGTACATCGATCGTATTTGAAATGAAATTAATTCCTCTCTTTTATGCAAAATTTGTAAGTTGTGTTATTCTTTGGTTCTACTTCAAGTTGCAGCACTTCCGCTCCGGCAGGAAGCGTGTTTGCATTGGTTTTCGACGTGAGGTCGAGCATTTTCAACGTTTCCGCGTTTCCCAGAGCGGCTGGGACCGCGCCGGGAACTAAAACAGTTCCTGACGCGCGAAGTTAAAAAGGTCCATTCTATTATAATATTCATTCGTTCTGATATTCGTGGCTTAACTCAAGTGGCATCCGGAGGCTTGCCGCGCGTTCGATATAATTTCATATTTCATTGTTTCCCCCGCAGTTCCAAACGATCGCGCGCGAAGTTCGCAGGGAGTTCTGAATTTTAATATACCTTGTGTTGAAAGTTTCCGTCGTCGTTTCTTCCCCCCTTTCCCCACCGTGTTCCTTGCCAAGTTTTCTCCCAACAACGGTTTTCCCGTGACAAACTAATTTTCTGTTAACGTTATTGCCGCTGTTATTGTCGCGCGGTGAAACAATTTATGCGCGTTTCACATTTACAAAGCGACGAAAATCCCCAATTGCCCGGGCGTGAAGCGCGTATACAACGAGTGACTTTTGCGTTCAATCTTGCGTCTCGCTGTTATTCCGAGCATTTTTAAACGGTCACTCCACGGGACTGCAAACTCGGAGAATCAACAGAAGATGAGAGGGTGAGAAAACGACGAGGCCGAGCGCCTCATTATTCCTAAAGCTTGACTTTCCCGTAACTCCCGTCGCGAGCTTTGCGGCACGTTCTACCCACAAACAACCCTTCTTGCCTGGAAGGCAGAATCCCGCAATAATATCCACGAGGAACGATCGAGATCCACGAAATACGTACATACCATCGGCAACGACCAACACTCCCGATTCCTGCGGCTGATCGCATAAACTCTCCGAACACTCGCGAAAGCAAGACGTACAACGTACGTACGTCTTTTCAGCGATCATTCACTCACGAATACACCGTCGAGAAATTTCGAAATCAATTCACCTCTTTCAACGTCTCGTGGAAAATGATTGCTTCGAAGGCATCTTGATTGCTGCTAGACGAGATCATTTCTCGGCCAATTTATAGGCGATATTTCTTCTAAATCGGAGAACAAAGCTTCCCCTTGGCAAAGATCACGTTTCCCTTGACATGTTCGACGGACGAGCAGCCAATCGTGCCAGGAGCACGTGAATGAGGGGTCGCGAACAAACGAGCACATTTTCCTGAAGGCTGGGGCAAGAAAGAGATACCGGTGGAGAGGTTTTATCGTCCCGGGACGATTGCCCCTGTGTAAATACGTATTTCTTTTGTTTTCGGTCGGACCCTCATCAAATTTTCTGTCGCGGAGAGGCACCGGCTGTTTAACAACCGAACAACCTGTCCCCGAAGGTTTTTTGCTCCACGTTTGCGTCTTCACATCGCGGACCATTCGAAGCTAGTAACATGCAAAAATTTCGTAGCCAATGCGCGCGTACGTATGTGCATTCATTTAGATTAGCCATCGGGATAACGTCCAGCGAGCAATCTATCATCGTTTGTAAAATTTCTATTCTGCAAGTGTAGTTGCTTGTCCCGCGTAATTTCTTAAGAGGCAACGCCAACCACGGGCTTGATAGGTAGTTAATGAAAAGCAGCTGGAACTCATTCGTGGCTTTGAGCTAATAATCACATAATGGATAGCTTCGGAAGCTTTAAAAGCACCAGATGTGTATCCATAATCCTTCCGCCAGGTGCTGAGAGCTTCCATGGGTGGTGAAGTTATTAATAGTCGCAGGGGCCTCCAGAGATTTCGCGGAAACTGAGACGTCGAATATTTCAGTATCCAGGGTATCCAGAGATTTCACAGCCAGCTAGATGGAGGTCTACGAGATCCGTGAGACTCTTAATGTAAGAGCCAAGTAGCCTATCCAATGGTAGCTTGAGGATTGCGGAGATCTTGAAAAATTGCATCGCAGGTCCAGCACTTGTGAGAGACGCTGTTCAATCTAGAGGACAGAAGTAGGTATCAGTAACATTTAAGCATCATTTCGTACATACGTTTAGCGAAATTTCTAAAATATCAGAAATTTGGAATAATTTCTTAATATTACAAATGTAGGCCAAAAAAATGTTGGAGAAAACGAGATTCTTTACGATCGACGCTTTCGCCGTTAGCAGGTTTCCGGATTTCTTCCGTGAAATCACCCAGCATTACCTCCGCCTGAAGATTTAGTCTTTCAGAAGATGGAAAACATGCTGTTATGAAAAAAGAAAAAACAGCATAGTTGTTTTAGGTCGATTGTACAACGTAGCTGAGTAATACAGAGGCCAATAAATATTCAAATATTTTACGACACGTGTATGCAACCGCGAGATCGATCGGCTATAAAAAAAAAATTGGAGTTACGAGTATCGTACAACCAAGTACTGCTTTTATAATACATATACGTCTGATAAGATGGTAATGATTAGATAGAGAATTTAGTTAAAACAAACTCTCCAAAGTATACTGGCGCACATAAGAGCGAACTATCATCCCTACACTTTGATGGATATTTATTTTATTCTTTAAATACGATGACGAGAATTGAAATTTCCCATGAATACATAAACGTGCAACTATTGGAATAAATATTGACGATGGGGAAGATAAAGCCAAATTGCACCTTAGTTTCCCTTTAAAGTCAAATTGAATAGTAGATTGATGCGAGAGTCTTCTCTTCTCTTTCAGACATTCCCGAAATCGAGTTCTACATGTTTAATAGCTATTGTAATTGATCTAAACAGAGACCGGAATTGCCTGTGGAAAATAATGGAAATGAGAGAAGGACGATCCCGGCTGATTCAAGTTTCCTTCGTTGAGATGCAAGGATAACAATTTGAAAGGGTTGGTCGATACGCCCGGAGACCAGTTTATCGTGTAGCAGTGTGAAAATCGATGTTCTTCCGACGGCAATGCCACGGTGACGCCGCTTTCACAGAAACTTTAGTTACCTAGTAATTGTATTTGCAAAAGATAGTAAAAAATATTTTGATCCCTCTCAACGTAAATTGCCTCAGTGAACGACAAGAATATAAAATCGTTGAATAAAATATCTCGGTGTAAGAAAATTTGATATACGTACAGCCATCTGAAACGTATAACTCGTGTAATCAGTTTGCCGTATTCGTGAAGCCGTTCTCAAATATGAATGTCGTTAAATTTTTATATAATAACTAGAACGTAATTTGATTTTCGAGCGCGGTAGTTGGCGAAATTTCATTTTTAAAGTTTCAACCAGTTTAAAATTCAGTTTCAATTTTCGTCTCAATTTTCTTCTTTTTTTCTTTATCCAGTATCGATTCAAATAGAAGAGATAACGAATAAATTTTCGTGCATACAGAATTATCAAATCTGGCTTGTCGATTGCAATTCAATCACAGCGAAACGTAGGTGAAGTGTCGGTTCGATATAAAATATTTATAAAATTCTCCTCTTCGTTTCTAAATTTCAATTATTTATTTACAGAAGACTGGGTGCTCTTCTCATACGTTAGCTCCAAAACAAAAGGGGAAAAGTGAAAGCGTTGAAAATCTGCCAAGCGAATCATAACAAAGTAGCCAGCAACTAAATTGCGTTCCGGAGAATGTTCTCGATTTGCAAGTGGACGAAACGCTGGTCTCAAAGGGGGTTGGTTTAAGGTTCAGTCAAGAGGAAATCGATCGCCTATAGAGTTTCCAGGATGGAGGACACCCTGAGGATCGCCGAGGTTAGCACCTAGCTCTGTAATAGCGCTTAACAATGAAATATCATTGTCTAAAACGGACCTGGCTAGTCTCGACAGCAGAAACGGGACTAAATGGATGTTAAACCCGTATTTGAACGATCTGCACCCGACAATAATTTAATGTCCTTCGCGAAGCTCGTCGGTGATGTCTACGCCGTGACGTCAGTGACACTACGATTTTGATAATCGTTTCGAAAGGGAAGACAGACAATTTATCGTTGTTTGGGCTGGCTGTCGGAGAGAGATTAATGAACTTTGCGAGAACTTGTTTCGGTGGAAATAAATGAATTTCTAAGTTGATCAAAGTTTCGAATGAAACGTTAAATCGACTGAAATTAAAACGTGAAGTTCCTCTCGCGAAAATGGAGATTTTCTTTCGATTTAATTACTCGGGGATGATGTTGAAAATTGAAAAGAGCACGTACATCACGCGTATCGGCAGATTTACGTTTACGATCGCCCCTCTTTATCTCTACCGGCGCGAAGCTACTTTGTTATCAATCAATACTTCGTCAAGTAATTTCAAAGTGGAAGCGTGATCACGAGAGGCTGGCTGCAGCAACCCGAAAGACGCTAGACGGTACAAAGATCGATACACCCATATCCCATCAGGTTTCGAAAGGAATTCAGCGATCGTATCGAGGTTGAGTCGTGCACAGGGCTCCTTCGCAACAGTTCCAGAGGTCGAAACATTCCCAAAGGAATCCTAACGCGGTATATTCATAGGAACGTATATCAGGCCCATACGTATGCCGACACGCAAGCGCGCATATACTTGGACAGCTCCAAACCGATGCATCCAGACACATTATCCGCAAGGACATCTCGAATGCAATAACGCAAAGATGGTTTCTACAAAAGCTGATACGAATTCCAATCCATTTTTTCCTGTTTTACCATGGTTTCTCGTTCCATGTATTCGAAAGTTAAGTAGATGGCTTGATTAAATTGGACGAGAAAAGTACGTGTACGTTGGAACATTTATGAAAATAGCGAGATGTATAGATCGATAATTAAGCAAAGAGTAACGAAAACATAGAAAAATAAGAAAGAAAGGAGAGCATAGATAAATTAATATGTAGATCCGAGTGAAGTGAGTAAACGAATGAGAAATGAAGCACGTAGACTGCAGTGCAGTATATGCATAATATACAAGTAAATGTGTATTCATGACAAGGACTGTACATACTTATATAGAGTCTGATAAAGTTGAAGAATACAGATAAATGTACGTGGTAAAAAATTTAAATGTAGAATGATGCAAAACAGCCTGTAACTTGGCTCAATTTTCCGGGGACACATCCTGAAATTGACATAACTCTGCCACACTGTTATTTCTATTCTTTCATGCATCTGGCACAATAGATTTTTCAAGATGCCGTAACAGTATAATTTTGCGTACCATAATATTGTCCAAGCTTTAAATTCCGTTCATTTTTCTAGGACACTGTATTTATATCACACGGCACAGAAAATCTCTAGAGAACGTGATATTCAGCCTATAGGTACGCCGTACATGGCCACTTGCATAATTCACCAGACGACACGTAAAAGATATTGAGCATGGGTCTCAGCTTGGCCAGAAACGAGAGTTGCTCAGGAATCCTAGGCATTTTTATGGGGCTTCTTTCCCAGAGAGGTTAGAGAGAAGACACGTGGGATGCGTACCTTGAAAAGATGAAAAAGAAAAGAACTGATGAAAATCCGAACTCACTTCCTTAAGGATTTCGTCTCTGACTAAACGACTTTCCCCTTCAGCTGCTATTTTTTAAAAGTCGATCAACAATTACTTCGAGTTTCATTAAAGTTTGATCAAACACCTGGATTATCGATTTATAGGAATAAATTGCCTATAAGTTCGAAATTGAACAACATTCAAGGAAGAATTTCTTTTTTTTCCTTAAAATAAATAAGAAGCATCTAAAAATAACGAAGTACCGACGTAAATACAACTTGAACAGAAAATCCTCGCAATTTTTACAAAGGCTTTCATGATTCTGTCCGATAGATAACAAGCCGGAAGCTACGCGTCTGCTCCTTGCGGCTCCTGTCTGCAGCTGCCAGACAATTTTGCGTATTTCACGAGATTTATTCAATAGACCAGGTACGCTCGATGGACCAGGCGAAAGCGTGAATATGAAAAATAAGAGGAAGGAAAGAGACAGCATTTAAATAAGGATAGATAGCTTCCCTTATGGATATCCTTGGACTCCATTGTGTTGGCCAGCTTTGACCACTGAAGACGGTTTCCATATTATTTTCTCGCATCTCGCCTTTTTCCATCGCCTTTACTCCTGTGTCTGCAAACTTTCTGAAGTCATTTTCTCGTCTGTTCGAATCTGCTTTGGATGAAACTTCATGCGAAAAGTTTCCCCGTGAAAATCTTCCGTATTGACCGTTGTTAAAATGTTTGTAATAAACTTTAGTGGAATTAATGGAGTATCGCCGTTATTACTTGCAAACAGAAAATACATGAATTGAATTTATCAAAAACTTCATTATTAATATTAAGTGATAATATTAGTCATCATTAACGTTAGGTAAAAAATTGATCGGGAAGAATAGCTTCGAGTGTAATATCTTTACAAGTGTCGAAATCTTTATAAGGCTGTCTGCGGACATTCGAAATGGTTCTCCGATATCTGCTGTCAAGTGATCGTGTGCGAACCCAAATTCATCCCCGGGGATTTTCACCATCCCACCATGAAGTAATTTTCACGAGACTATTCTTCGGCCGCGGGTGAACTCGAAGACGATGTGCCGCCATAAAAAGAGGAACAAAAAAGCGGAAGAAAAAAGGAGCACGTGAAACGAAAGAGAGAAGTTCTCCGGTGATTTAAGAGAAAGGAAAGCACGACTGACCTCTCGCGTCGAAAGAAAAAGAATAGAGGAAAGAACGTCTTCCTTGTTCGACCGACAGTGGCTGAGTAGCAATAAAAGTCAGTGAGTCTAGATAATCGAGAAATCTAGCCTCGCGATCCGATGTCGCGTTTCACTGCCGCTCTCATGCAGTAAAACTCATGTTTCCAGTGTTTCCATTGTTTCGTAAATTAACGAACAATCGGACCAGTCGGTTACTTTTACTTTACCACTGTTACCGCTGCCTGTGTTTTTATTGTCTATATAGTCTGTGTCTTTATCTTTCCACATATTGTATTGCAAGACGTTTGATTTCATGAGTGTGTGTATATATATTTCTATTTCATTGTATCTGTTTATGGAAAATTGATTTA